CCAAAGTGTTGATCCTAGGTAGATGCACTAAATCTTCGCCACTACGTGAGGGAAAAATTTACGTGAGGTCGAGGTGTTGATGAGCTGGACGATGCGTGGGGAGATGGTCAACACAGCAATCGAGGCGATGACCTACAGGGACACCACGTCAGGTATGCTTAAGCTTTGTAAAGTAGAGTGAGAAGCTCATCTGCCACCGGTGCGCTGACCCACAGGGGACGACGCTTGGGAGATAGCTAAAATTTTGTAAAGCTTAGGAGGGAACGCAGCGACTGAGGCGATGACCCATAGGGGACTCCGCGTCAGGTGCGTGTAAGCTTTGTAAAGTTGAGTGAGGAGCTCATCTACCACCGGTGTGTTGACCCACAGGGAACGACACGTTGGGAGATGGCTAAAACTTTGAAAAACTTAGGAGGGAACGTAGCGACCGAGGTGATGACCCACAGGGGACTTCGCGTCAGGTACGCCTAAGCTTGGTAAAGTTGAGTGAGGAGCTTGTCTGCCACAGCTGCGCTGACCCATAGGGGACGACACGATGGGAGATGGCTAAAACTTTGTAAAGCTTAGGAGGGAATGCAATGATCGAGGCGATGATCCACAGGGGACTCCACGTCAAGTGCGCATAAGCTTGATAAAGTTGAGTGAGGAGCTTGATCCGAGGCGGGCATGTCTGACGTCAAATGATTTGACAGCTGTTGCGTATTTCCAAGGTGATAGTTGGATGCAACGCCCATTTCCCTAAAAAGTTGCTGTAGTGACGGCTGGTGGTGACCGAGGTGACGCGTTATATGTGAGCGTGAGGATCACAGCAAGATCTTAGGCGTAGATCAAATCTGGCGTTTCATTTCAATGGCCTAGATTGATTGCATTTGAATTTAACAGTGGAGATTAGTTGGAGCGCTTTATAAAAAGTGGACTTGAGCATTTTTGGAGTTTTTTACTCTTGCGAAAACAGAAAATTCCATTGCTCTCAAACCCCTTTGCTATTTTCGGCGTTCTTCAAGCATTTTCGACGAGAACTTTGATTTTTCGACGACCACACACCAATTTCTGACCATTTTCAGCTGGGGAACATTCAAACTCATTAGTTTTAGTAACTATTTTGAGATTTTTCCTTTCTGAAAATAGCTTTCGAGGGTAGTGCTGGTTCGGGGAGGGGGCTGGAGTTAGTACGGATGAACGAGCCCATTGTGGCGACCTCCTCCGAAGTAGCCGAAGCGATACTTAGGGGGAGAACATTTGGAAGAGGCCGGATAGCCCAGTAGACACCTCTGTACATTGGGGGGCTTCGGATTACCCCTCCAAGCTAAAGGAGGCCGACCTAAAAAGACTTAGGACTGAATATAAGATACTGGATAGTATAGATCTAATCCTACCCGAGCCTGACGAGAGGGCCTACTACCCTAGGCCAGGGTGTGTGGCGATAAGCGAGGCGGTCCTTAGGGCTGGCCTTAGGCTTCCAATTCACCCATTTTTTCGGATGGTGCTTAGGTCTTACGGCTTAGCACCAACCCAACTGAATCCGAGCTCCTGGAGCCAGATGGTGGTCTCCTAGATGTTATGGAAAGAGGCATCACTAGGAGTGGAGATACCCTTCTCTATTTTTCAGACCCTCTATATTCCAAAAGTAACAGTTGGAAGGGATATGACCAGGGGCTGGTATTACCTGACCTCTTGGGGTTCCCACACTCCATTCATGCTCGATCAGGCGAGCTCCATCAAGGAGTGGAGGAGCTCGTGGTGCTGGGCCGCCGGGAGATGGAACACAATGGAGGGGGACCCCCTGGCACCTCTTACAGTCCCCACGAAGTACTCGTCACTTAGTGAGTATTGTAGGTGTATTTCTTTTTTATTTCTCTTTTGCTTGGATTATAACTAACATTCGTATTCATTTTTTGAATGCACTCTTCCTCAGTGCGAGTTGTCCTCCAACGATTTTGAGATTATCTGCGTCATCTATCAGCTGCCTCCGAAGAAGAGGTCGTTCCATCGGCTGACCAGAAAGAACCTCCATTTTGTGACGCACGACCTGATGGCCTCACAAGGTAATATCTCGAAACGAATACCCTTCAATACTTCCAAATCGTTTAGACTTGAACTAATTTACTTATTTTCTTGCAGATAACTTCAATAAGAAGATGCCTCTTTGGCCCAACTTCAAAACAATACAAAAGATGACGGCCGAGGCAAGGGCCTTGAAGACCTCCTCCTCCTCCTACAAGAAGCAGATGGAGGACTTAGTGGATGCCAGCAAGAGGCTCCCGCCTCCGACGGAGGAGGAGGTGCCTAAGGATCCAGAGTCGAATCTGCTTCGGAAGGGCAAAAAACCTGCTACCCCTTCGAAGCGGCCAACGGTAGCGAGGCCACCCCCCGCTCTGAGGCAAACCAGAATTCCTACTGGGGTGGGCATTCCGGAGAGAACGCCCGCGCCATCAGAGGCTTCCCCTACCCCGACTAAGGCGCCAGTTGCTTCTGTTCCTCTCGCCCAGGTGTCTGGGCAGCCTAAGAAGAAAAGATCCCATCCCTCAAAGGAGGTGAACTTCTTGGGCACGAACTTCGATGAGCTGATTAAAGAAGTACTAGAGGCTCTTCTCCCATAAATGGCTGTAGTGGCGGTGGTCCACAATAAGTATTGGACTGAAGAATGGAGGGACCACACCGCCTCTTGCACAGCTGAGGACTTGGTGGCGGCCAATAGTGCCTGTGTGGCCCGGGCTTTGAGCACCAGCATCTAGCTCGAGGGCTTGGTGAAGGACCTCAATGCCAAGAGGGAGGACCTCGCCAAGCGCCTCAAGGAGGTGATGCAATATGGGGACAAGGTGAGGGAGGCCCAGGCCAAGGCTGCAGAGGAAGAAAAAAGGAGGACGGAGGCGGAGGCCCAGTTGGCAGCTGCTACAGAAGACATAGAGCGGCTGAAGAAGAAGTTCTATGAAGTGGAGTGTCAGGTGGCTACCATGACCCGAAGAGTGGATCACGCCAACGAGCACCACCAGCTCGCCACGGAGGCCTCTAATAAAGAGAAAGCTGAGCTGGGGCAGAGGACGGAGGCCCAGTCTGAGGGAATTACCTCCTTGAAGGAGGAACTGAAGTCGGCAGGGAAAGTGGCTGTTCAAAATTTCATTGACCACTTCGAGGAACATCCCCTGTACGGCGACTTTGCAAATTTTTGGGCCTCCTGGAGTGCCCAAGGCATATTGGGTCGGCTGAAAGAGGTCCACCCTACTTTGGACATTTCCTCTTTAGAGGCAGAGTTCGGGGAACCTACTGGAGGCCGGCCGATAGGCTTACAGAGGACACTCCAGTAGCTCCCGAGGCGGGCGAGGCAGGGGCTGGTGGGGAGGGGCCTCCTGTAGAGTAGGGCTTATTTTGTAATGGCTTCGGCCTCTTGTAAACTTGAAGTGAATGAAATGAAATTTTTTTTACCAAGTGTTGTTGCTTCTACTTTCTTATCGTATTGATCTATTTACGCATATATGAATGACAAACTTTTAAGACTAAGCGCCTCTTAACAATAATCAGAAGATCGGACAACTTAAGTAATCGTCAAGTGCCTCTTAACAATAATCAGAAGATCGGATCACTTAAGTAATAATACTGAGGGATTGAGGTAAAAATTTGATAACCGATGTGACAAAGAACTGAAGTATCAATACTTAAAAAAGTTATATTATCCATTACCAAGGCATTTTTAGCGCTCAGTAAGATAGGAAAATTACAAATGAGATCGGATGGGACATACACTTATTAGACAACATCGAGATCGGATCGGAACAAAAACTCATCACTGATAATATTTCCTTAAGTGTTCGATGTTCCATTGAAGAGGTAGTGCTTTCCCTGCCATGTCTTCAATTTTGAAAGTGCCAGGTTGGGATTCCCTGCAGGTGCAGTAAGGACCCTCCCAGTTTGGTCCAAACACTCCTAACGTGGTTGGCTTTTATGATTGGAAGATCCTCCTGAGGACGAGATCTCCTAAGCGAAGAGTTCGGTTTCTGACCTTGGAGTTATAATAGTGGGTCAGCTTTCCATGATACTTTGCCAAATTCGCCTGCGAGGTATCCCTCATTTCTTCAAGGAGTTGGAGTTGAAGTGTATTCGACGGTGTGATGGGACCCCGACCTCGATCGGGCTCATGGCCTTGGCCCTGTAGGTCATTGAGAATGGTGTTTCCCTAGTTGTAGTTCAGCTTGTGGTTCGGATTGCCCAAAGGACATGGAAAAGTTCATCAACCCAAGCCCCTTTGATGTGTCAAGCTTCCTTTTCAGGGTATGCTTGATGGTTTTGTTTACTGCCTAAACTTGTCTATTTGCTTGCGGGTGATAAGGCGTTGAGAAATCCTTTTTTATCCCCAGTTCATCGCACAATTCTTACATTTTCCTGTTGTCGTACTGTCTTCCATTGTCGAATACTAAGGAGTGGGGAATACCGAACCTGCAAATGATATTCTTCCAGATGAATTTTGTAGTATTTACCTCAGCACTCTTCACAAGAGGTTCAGCCTCGACCCACTTGGTAAAGTAGTCAATGGCGACAATGGCGAAGGTCGCGCTTCCTCTTCCTTTTGGGAATGGACCAATGAAGTCGATGCCCCACTTGGCGAATGGCCAGGGGCTGGTTACCGCGGAGAGGTTCTGAGAAGGCTGCCTTTGAATATTCATGAAGCACTGGCACTTGTCACATTTCTGGACGAACTGGCAAGCATCCATTTTCAGGGTTGGCCAGAAGTAACCTTGACGGAAAACCTTGTGTGCCAGGGCTGCTCCTCCGGAGTGATTTTCGCAGATTCCCTCATGGATTTCCCTAAGTATGTATGTGGCCTCTTCGCCTCCCACACATCAGAGAAGTGGTGAGGCGAAGCCTCTTTTGTAGAGCATATCCTCTTTCAGGACGAAGTGCGCAACCCTTCTCCTCAACTTCCTCGCCTCGCTTCTAGAAGTAGGTAGTGTTTGATCCTTTAGATAGGCGATGATGGGCTGCATCCATAATGGGGTGCCTTCTATCTAAAGTACCTCTTCTCCTCCAAAAATGGAGGGTTTCGATAAGTCTTCAATAGTGACAACTTTTAATAACTCAGAATCCTTGCTGCTAGCCAATTTTGAAAGGGCATCTGCATGTGTATTCTCTAGGCATGGGACTTGAATCAGTTTGAACCTTTCAAGATGAGGGACTAGATCCAGAACTAATTTCAAGTATGCGAACATGCTGCTGTCTTTGGCCACAAAGCTTCCACTGACCTGATTTACTATCAGTTGAGAATCGCTACTGGCTACGAGCCTTCTAACCTGTATTTCTCTTGCCAGTCTAAGGCCCGCTAGAAGGGCTTCATATTCGATAGCGTTGTTCGAGGCTTTGAAGCCAAACCTTACTGCGTAATTTAGCTCATGACCCTCTGTGCTTTCCAAGACTATTCCTGCCCCGAAGCCTGCCTTTCCTGAGGATCTATCTACGAACAGTTTCCAGGCTGGGGGTTCGGCTGGTTCCATTATTGCCTTCATTTCTGAGGCTTTGGCAAACTCAACAACAAAATCTGCAAGGGCCTGGCCCTTGATGGCATGTCAAGGTCCGAACAATATGTCGAACTCGCTGAGCTCGATTGCCTATTTTAGCAGGCGTCCTGATATGTTTGTTCTCTACAGTACCTGCTTCAATGGGAAGTTAGTGAGAACGTCGAAAGAGTGGGTTTGGAAGTATGGCCTCAGTTTACTTTTTGGCTGTGATGAGGGCGAGTGCTAATTTCTCCATGTCTGGGTACCGTGTTTCAGCTGGGAGGAGTGCTTTGCTGACGTAGTACACTAGCAACTGTCGTTCATTTTCTTCTCTAACTAGGACTGCACTGACCGCCACATTCGATACTGCCAAATACAGCAGTAGAGACTCCTCTGGTTGAGGTTTTGACAAAATGGGTGCCTCTCCGAGGTACTTTTTCAGCGCCTAAAAGGCTTCTTCACACTCAGAAGTCCATTGGAACTTCTTTCCTTGCTTAAGCACCTTGAAGAAGGGTAAGCTCTTATCTGTGGCCCTGGAGATGAAGCGACCGAGTGTGGCTATTCGACCATTGAGGCTTTGTACTTCCTTCGATTTCTGAGGTTACCTCATTTCCAGCAAGGCCGTTATCTTTACCGGACTGGCTTCAATTCCTCTTTGGTTAACAATATACCCTAAGAACTGATCCGAAGCCACCCCAAAGGTACACTTGAGGGGATTCAACTTCATCTTATATGGTCGAGGTGGCTTACGTGTTCGCTTGCCTGGAGGCTTTTGACTAGCATATCGTCTACGTAGACCCACATGATTTTTTCAATGAGTTCGGCAAACATCATGTTGACCAGTCTCTGATATGTGGCTCCAGCATTTTTCAATCCGAAGGACATGACTTTGTAGTAGTAGAGTCCTCTGTCTTTGATGAATGACGCAGCTTCCTCGTCAGGTCGAAACATGGGTACCTGATTGTACCCCGAATATGCATCCATGAAGCTCAATAGTTCATGTCCGGCAGTGGAATCCACAAGTTAGTCTATTCTTGGAAGTGGTAAGCTGTTTTTAGGGCACGCCTTATTCAAGTTAGTGAAGTCTACGCACACCCTCCACTTCTCGCTGGGCTTTTTCACCAGGATCGGGTTGGATATCCACTTCGGGTAGATGGCTTCCTTATGAAACCGCTACAGCTAAGCTTGCCTACTTCATCTTTGAGAGCCTTGTACCTTTTTGGATTGAGGGCACGTCTTTTCTGCTGATGAGGGGCACAGGAGGAGTTGATGTTAAGATGTTGACAACTGATCCTTGGATCTATTCCAACCATGTCCTCATGTTTCTAGGCGAAGATATCCAAGTTCCTTTTCAGGAAGTTTATCATCTCCTCTTTTGCTTCAGGGGGCAGTGTCTTCCCTATTCACAAGACCTGATTAGCGTCCTCTGGGTTGGCGGAGAAAGTTTCTAGCTCTTCCATCGGGGTTACATTTGGTTCAGAGTCAATTATCCAAGGATCTAACTCATCAAGAGGGTATCCTTGTTCAGGGGCCTCTTCCATGTTGACGTCTTCCTCCTGTTCGGAGGTATGCCCTTGTTCAGGGGTGTTGAGCATTTCCACATCCATACTGGCTTCATTGGCCACTTCAATTATGATCACATTAACAGTTTGGGGCTCCGACTTTCTCAGAGAGTTCAAGGAACATGCCCTGGAGCCCATCTGGTCACCTCGGACCATAGCAATCCCATGTTCAGTTGAGAATTTCATACACAAGTAATGGATGGATGTGACGGCCCAAAGATCTTTCAAAGCGGGTCTGCCAATACTCCATGATAGGCCGATCTATGGTCTACCACTAAAAATTCCATGAAGTGTTGGGCCACTAAAGGTGCTGAACTCATCTCGACGGGTAGAGTGATCCGCTCTCGTGGGACGATGCTATCTCTAGTAAATCCGAATAGTGGGTCGATCATAGAGATCAAGCCATGTTCAATTTACATTTTGTCGAAGGTGGAGCCGAACAGTATGTTCACCGAACTTTCATTGTCAACGAGCATGCATTTGAGCCCGTTTCTAGCCACTACGGCTCTTACAACCAATGCGTCACAATGGGGGTGGTGAACTTCTTCTGCATCTTCCTGGGAGAACGTGATTGGGGCCATCCTATTGGCCGCTTATGACTCATTGACAATGTAGGTAATCATTGGCGGGTCCTTTGCTTCCCTTGTGTAGTTCCTTTAGGCGTTCCTGGTGTTACCACCGATGTGAGGTCCCCCAATGATTGTGTCGATCTCCCTGATGACTTGGCTCCCAAAGAATGAGGCCTAATCTCTCTGTCTAGACTGTCCTCGATCCCTTGATTCTCTTCTCCGTGGTGATTGCTCTCTATGCCTTCTCTCTCCACTGTTTGGGGAGGCGAATCTGCGAGGATATTCACTCCTGCTGGATGAATGTGGGTTGCTTCGATCAGGGCGTCGATTAGCGTCTCGGCACTCACTAGTGTCATGCCCATAGAGTTGGTGGAAAGTGCAAAACCTTACCCTTTCCAATCGCCTGTTTGACCGTTTCTTCTTCTTCTTCTTACTATCAGCTCTTCTGGATGGTCCTATTTCGCCAGAAGCATTCTCGTATGCCAATACCGGCACTACATTCAATGTGGCGGAAGCTAGTGCCTGTCCGAAGGTGGGAGCTATTGTATGACCTGCTTGAGTACACTGCTGAGTGATAAGGTGCACTACGGGTCCTCGACCTACCTGCCTCTGAGGTGGAGAGAGTCCCTGCACGGCATGGTTTCGATGATCAATCATTTCCTCACTGACGATTTTCACTCTCGTCATTTCCACCAGTTCATCATAGGTGGCAAGATTCTTACTGCACACGTCCCTCCAGAACAAAGTTTTCATGTTGAGGCCGCCTTTCAGAGCTGAAAGGACCTCCCTGTCAATAACCTGTTCGCAATATGTGATTTCATCTGTAAATCTGGTGAGATAGTTTTTCAGCGTCTCTCCAAGGGCCTATCTCATATCTTGCAGGCATTGAATTGGGGCCTCTCCTTCCCTGAGTGAGAGGTATCGGTTTAAGATTGCATTCTTCAAATCTGGCCAACTCCTAATGCTTAAGGGAGGAAGTCTGCTATACCACACTTCAGCAGCTCCGCCCAGGGTTAAGTGGAAGGCTCTGCATTTCAAAGTAGGCAAAGCTCCCTTGAGGATCATCTGTGTCATGTACTTGGTGAGGTGCTTCTCCGGGTCTCCCTTTCCTTCATACTTGGGGATCTTAGGGGGCATGAAGTTCGCCGACATTGGAAAGTTTCGGATCTCCCTTGAAAAGGGAGGTTATCATCATCGTCATTGATCTCATAAGATCGATAGGGCCCATCTGACCCTTCATCATCTTGAATATCCTCGGGAGATGGAGGTGCTTCTCCTCGGCTTTCCCAATCGACTAGGTTCCTTCTATCCCTCCTATTTCTAGGAAGAGGTACCTGTTCTTGTTCCTGGGCTTTTCGAACTGATCTTTACACTGAGCGGGCCCTATTATTAGGGTCATGCCCTATTCGATCGAAGATGCTTACTGACCTTTGTTCCCCATATTCTTGAGGAAAATTGTCCCCTAGCTGTGGTTCCGCTGGCTGGCATCCTTGTACATAGGATGTGGCTTCCGCGCCCACTCCTCTTTCGAGGGGGCGTTCTCTGTGCTTGAACGAGATACAGGGGCTTCCTGCACTGGGTAAGATCATTGGGGCATTTGATAGCCCTGATGACCTTGGTCTTACACGAGAAGTTTATGCATCGCCATATTCTAAGCTGCGATGTCTCTCATGCCTGTCGCTATTTGAGTCATCCCTTCAGTGAGCATGGCCATTCTTACACCTCGACGACGCCAATGATGGGGTCTCTAGTGAGTGACATTTTTATGGAGCACCTCTTCTTTAGAGGCCTCTCTCATGGGATTGTCGTCTTCATGGCTGGAACTCATTCTATCTCCTTTTTCAAGGGTGATAAGAATTTGGGATATAACTCGACTTTGTTCTTTTTCAAGAACGTACCCTTTTCACGGTAAGTCGCTAGTTTTTCAGTGTTTTCTCAGGTGGAGAATGTAGAACTTTGAACGGGAAGTTTCCCACAGACGGCACCAATCTGTTGACTTCGGAAAGTGGATCCTCTACATGGCCAACCTATAGCCACTCCACGTATTCCTCCCTACACACAATCAACGCACAGTCAGATGCACATGGCCGGAACCAGCGGGGGTGGCAACGACCGTATACACTCCGACGGTGAAGTTAGGCTCAGGTGATCGGAATAGTACCAATGTTGTGCAAAATAGTGGGGAGGAGAATACATATTTACTTGCTATTGAGTGCTAAGTAAAAAAAGAGTTTCATTACCTTTGCCTCTTGCCAAGCCTTTGGTATTTATAGGCGAGGAGAGCCATTAGATGTGGGGCACATGTGTACATCTGAACGGTATGAGGCGTATGCTCGTAGGTGTCAATCAGCCGCATCTATAAGTGGGCGGGTAGTTACTTCTCCCGACTTGAGTTGACATAAAGTTGATAGATCACATCAACTAGCCTCATGGAGACGTCAAATCGCTTTAAACCTTAGGGGTAGAAAAGATCTTGACAGAGATCTCATTCTGAAATCGACGATGGATCCTCAGGCCAAGGTCCCCGGGGTTCATTTCGCCTCGTATTCAAGGGCGAGGGTGCTTCAGTCAATCCTGCAAAATTACCTATGCCTCATAGTGTGATAGCAGATCATCTCCATTGGTGAAGTCACTTCGGAAACACTTCGGAATCATCTCGGATGATCGTTCCACACCTCGCATGATGTGGTGGTGGACTTTCCGAAGTGGTTCAGTTAGTTTTCGAAGTGGTTCAATTAGGGGCGTAACACCTACGATTCTACGATTTCAAAAATGACAAAATGATCCGGCCCTATTTTAGAATTTTAAAATTTTTGAATATTATTATCTTGTTCTTGATTACTAACAATCCTACGGATTCAACAATCCTAAAGATCATTCATTTTCTTTATCATTATGAACTTACTAATTTCATTTAATAAACTAAGTAGGTTGAGTTATTAAACACTGAAGCTGAGTTTCATTTTCAATTGAAACTTAAACAAAATAAAAAAAAAAGAAAAAAAAAGTAGAATCCATAATTTGATTTTAAAAAAATGTTATCAATTGGTCTATGTCGCCTTTTTTGCATTAAAACGAAACGGCTGTCTATGTGCTTTGTTAATTGTAACAAACATCAGTATAAACAAGATGGACCCAAACATCAGTATAAACAAGATCAAGTGGAGCATGACTTTGGAGATTTGGGACTTGAAATGGCTGTATATGTGCTTTGTTAATTGAACAAGAACATAAATGAGATTTTCGCTCTTGTCACTAGAAGGGAAAAAGAATTTATTATATTTTGGACGATTTTGAGAGATGGATGTCCAAGACACTTGTGCCACCCATCAATCTAGGTCCACTCGTGCACATAAGAAACCATGTTGGAAGGAAGAGCCACCAATGAGTCTGGGAGAGTGTAAACACCGTTTTCACATGCACCTTTAAGTAGAGCTACCCCCATGATCTGATCCTTCAAAAGGAAATAAGTTGGGTGAAATTCTACAAAAAAAAAACATTATTTTGAGATGTGAAATGATGGACTAAAATTAATTTTTTTTAATTGTTGAGGCACAGAGTGTGTCTTTTAAATAGAAGGTGTAGTTGTGTGAGTGAAACACTAAAGAACCAATGTGTGAGATAGACAAACCTGATCCATCACCAACTACAACTTCATCAGTCCGTCATATTCAGTGTGAATGGATAAATTAGCTAGATCACCAGTTATATTGTGAGATGCAGCAGAGTCAATAAACCATTTATTTTCCTTGGTGCGAGAAGTGGAGGCACAATTGACAGTGACTTCAGAACTGCTCAATTGAGGACAATGTTTTGCAATGTAGCCCATTTTGTCACAAAACTGGCACTTATGTTGATGGCAACACTGGCCCTTGTTTGGACGGCCAAAAAAGTTAGTGGACTGCCTATTGTAATGGTTGGGGCCAATGTTGTTACGGGTTAGACCAAAAGAATGATTTGACCCATGTGGTCTATATGACCCACGTTTTTTAGAGATTCCATTAGAGGAGTTTTGTCCTGAGCGACGATAGGTTTAATTTGCTGTGGCTACCAATTGCTAGGTGGCAACGTCAAGTTGATGTAAGTAGCTTTCGTGGCTAACCAGGAGGTCATGATGCCCTCAAAGGCCATTGAGTTTTCTCGAGCACGAATGGGGGCAGCAATTTCTCTGTATTCGACTCCTGGACCATTCAAGATGTAGAGTGTGAGATCATCATCAGAGATGGGATGATCTATGAGGGCAATTTTGTCCACTTAGGATTTCATCATATGCAAGTAGTCTAGAATTGTATGATTTCCCTTTTGAATTAAGGTTAATTCCTCCTTCAATTGCATGGCCCTATTTCTTGATTTACTAGCATGCATGTTGTTGAGTTTTTTCCATGCTTCATGGGATGTTTTGGCAGTGGATATGGTGGGAGAGGTGGACACTGGTATCGCACTTAGGATAAGTTTATCCTATCGAATCCAATGGGTTTTTTGGAGAGCGATGGACGATGAGCCAGTGGGCTTGGGGCATAAGTTGTCTCCAGTGACATAGGTCAGGAGATCATAGCCGATGAAGAAAGCTTCAAATTGGGCTCGCCATTGTGGAAAGGTGGATGGGGTGAGTTTCTCATTAATATGAGCAGAGATATTGAAAGCAATAAAGGGGTTTTCAGGTGAGGATGGAAGTAAAGGATGAGGAGAATTAATTGGTGTTTGCTCAGGAGGTGAGGTGAATTTAGAAGTTGGGATCAAGGGCTCATTAGAGTTTGGCCGCTTTAATACCATGATGAAATTGTAGGATTTTCAATCTACTCAATTCAATAATAATTCACCACACTTGTATTCATAGAATTATACTAATATATATATATATATATATATACACACACACATTCCTTAGAATATATTTCTAGTAATGATGCTATCTATGTGACTACATTTTTGTAATGTTTACAGAAAAATAGTAGCCTTGAATTGAGTAATATGTCTTGACTTGTGCAAATTTCATGTGAAGGTGCTGCCATAATTTTAGCATAGGAATATTTTTTTCTTGACTTGAGCTTGATTAGTGCAAGCATGATTTACAAATGCAGGCTAAGAGTTAGCTTTGTTTATTGTTGCTTGATTTGTGCTATCATCCTCAACATACTTGTCCAATAATTACTCAAGACTAATTTGCAAGTAATTTGAACGTTCTAATATGATGATGGTAATGCTTCTCTTGCAGAATTTGTAATAAACAAATATGTTTAGGATTATCAAATAAATAATGCTAAATGTACATCTCTGATTGACATTTTTGTGTACACTCCTTTGAAATTCAAAAAGTGTAGGATGGGATTGTGTTTTTAAAAAAAAATAGTAAAATAAACTAAAAAATTAAAAAATCATACAACCATGTACTATCACGTGACACAATGTGAAAAGTGATGCAAAAATAGATGTACATGTGGCAAGATTGTTATCAAATAGCAAGGACATTGACTGACTCAATATCCATCAGAAGTCAACTCGTTTTTTAATCAATTATTTACAAATCATGAGCCGTTAAATTTTGACTTGTTCTTATTTAGTTAATAAGCGAAAGGGCAATAAGTTGACTTAGAATTCTATTATTAAAGTCAAGATAGAAAAGAATATTGTGAGCCAATTACAAAATTTCATTGTTTTAATGTCCTTATAAGCTTCCAATAATCTCATATTTCGCTCATCAAAGTTTCAATTTACTCCTTTCGGCCACCAAACATTCCAACTTTTTTGGCTGAAACATATCATTTGAAAACTTATACTGTTACACAAGAACACATTTATTTATTTGAATTTCGTCTTTAACATTACCTTTTGCCGAAATACGTCGACAATACTCAAAAAGGGAAAAAAAAATTCATTTTCAATTTAGAAAACTCGAAACAAATATTAGCCAATCATAGAAAGTCACAAAAAACGAAATTACAAGGAAAATCACATGTTGTCTAGTCACTCACATCTTGGCATCGACATTAACAGGATTTTAAACGAAGTCTTCGAACCAAAATCAACCACTAAACAACTTGTACAATATAATTATAAAAAAGCCCTAAATTTCATTTCTATACTTCAACATGGCTTCTTCTCTCTTCTTACTTGTTCTAATTTTTTGCATTTTCTCAGTGGCTGCTGGTGGTAATTAATCTTAACTCTTCCTTAACTTCTCGTATTGTTTTTAATGATCTTCATGAATGGCAATACAAATTTTCCCTTTTTTAAAATTTTTTTTTGTTTTTGGCAGTTTTTGTTAGCATAGATTGTGGTTCATCAGACAATTATACCGACGAGAATTTGATACAATGGACTGAAGATGATTTATACATCAAAAATGGCGAAAACCTGATGGTACAACCTGCTAACTCAATATCTCGAGTCATGGACACTCTAAGAGTTTTCACTAGTCGAAAGAAAAATTGTTACTTGATTGAAAGTGATACGAGTGGGCGTGTTCTTGTACGCGCTAGCTTTTATTATGGAAATTATGACAAGAAATCTTCTCCACCTACGTTCGATCTTCAATTTGATGGGAACTATTGGCTGACAGTTGAGACTTCGTCTACTGATTATGTATATTATGAGGCCATATACGTTGTGAAGAAGGATTATATAAGCGTATGCGTAGCGCAAACGGAGCCTAATCAGTTTCCATTTATATCGGCTCTTGAAGTTCGCGGATTGGAGTCATATATGTATAACTATATAGATAAAAATTATCCTCTGTTCTTGGTCAAAAGGATTGCTTATGGTGCAAATGCAACTGTCAGGTATGGTTCTATGTTCTTAATTCTTTAATATAAGATTACTGAATTTTTATTGATCAAATCGAAATTATGTTTTGAATGTTAATGGGATGTTTGATAGCTAAGATTGGATTACAATTTATTGACAGTTTCTTCAGACTTGGATTTTAAATCTGATCAATATGCAGTATTGGGTTGAACACCTTAAGCCATCTCAACCAAAATCTTAAATTTAATTTTAGACTAAGTGGTTTAACATCGTATCAAAACAAACTCCAATTCTAGTTTCATACATATGGGATGGGTGAGCGTTGAAGAAAAGTTGAAGCAAAGTAGTTTGTCCAATTTCTATCAGCTTAAACTTTTAAAATAGATCGTTTCATTGAATTAGAATCTGAAAGCTAATTCGTTTTATTGGCACAAAATCCCAGGTATATAGACGATCATTACGACAGAATATGGACTCCTGAAGCAGCCGGCAAAGGATTAACTGAAGTAAATAGCGATGCATTCTTTAGTGTACCAGGAATAGCAGATAACCCTCCACCTGCAGTGCTGCTAAATGCAGTTACGACAATCAATCCCTCTTCAAGTATCCTATTGAATATGGGATTTCCTCGAGTTGAAGTTCCTGCCTACTTAAACTGGTATTTTTCCGAGGTTACTCAGTTGGAAGCAAATGAAACACGTTCTTTTATGGTTTACAAGGACGGCCAACCTCTCACCCAGGCAATTTCACCTCCTTATGGAAACTTTACGCAGTGGTATGCTAGTAACTATACAGTTTCTTCAAATACTACGTTTTCTCTCGTGCCTACTAAGAACTCGACCCTTCCCCCGCTCATTAACGCCATGGAAGTCTTTCTAATTGGAGACGCTCTAACAGATGGAACCAACAGCAAAGATGGTAGGTACTAATGTTTTAAATTTTAAAGAAGGTGACATATTTGTGGCTTTGAAAACCTTCCCTCGTACACTCAGAACGAAATTCCCTCTAAATGAAAATACAGAGGATCTCAAGTCTCACCACAAGATAGTCCATAACTATCTCAACAAGGTTTTCGAATTATGCATAGATGTCGTTAAAGAGTCAAGAAATTTATTTATTTATTTATTTATATCTTCAAGGAAAAAGGCCTGATCTTACTTTCTGAAATCCGTTATTTTTCCAATTTAGTCGAGGGGTTAGTTTCGCTACAAAATGCTTTCGAAGACTTACAAGACTGGAGTGGAGATCCATGTCTTCCGGCGCCTTATACATGGGACTGGATCAATTGCAGCAATGATGCTACACCACGAGTGACAGCACTGTAAATGTCCTTGATTTTCATTATTTTAAATTATTGAACTTTTTAGTACCTCATCCAAAAGTTTAAGCTTTAGATGAGGTGGTTCAATATGGTAAGTTATTTGCTCTTTCATTCGGAATAATTGACAGGTATCTTGGTAGCTTCAATCTCTCGGGGCCACTTCCAGATTTTGGTTCAATGAATGCGCTTGAAACAATGTGAGATTTATTTGCTTATCCAATGATTGCCTCAACTTATAAGTAGACATGATTTTTCCAAAAATTCTGTTTTCTCACGATTTCTACAATTTACAGAGATCTTCACAATAACAGTTTGTATGGAACTATTCCAGATTTTCTTGGCACATTCCCATACCTTAAAGAACTGTAAGTATATAGATAACACTGCTATGACTAGTCAAGTACTGTAGAGCAAACATACAATAAAATCTTGGAGTGCTTTATATATATCCCTTGATAGGTAGAAAATGACCTCTTCTTTATTTCAGGAATCTTGCGGATAACCAATTTACTGGTTTTATACCAGGTTCACTGTCAAAGAAAAATGACCTGAAATTAGAGTAAGAGAACAGATACTAGACTTTTCTCTATTCTGTTCTATTTCCTATGGTAATTTTATTTACATTATGCTGTATATATTTCAGGGTAACAGGTAATCCTGATCTATGCACATCAGGCAAATCGTGCCAGTTGACTGACGATCCAAAAATGCGTTCTTCCGGCAGTAAGGAGAAGAAGAGCAAGCTACCAGTAATTCTTGGCATTACAATTCCAATATTTGTAGTAATCTGGGCTATTGTGGGTGTTTATATCATATTAAAGCATAGGAGAAAAACTGCTGCAATAGCCGTACTCGATGCAGGTTGATATTGAACTAACTTAACATTAAACCACTTCATTTAAAAGCTTGAAATGTTACAGATGAGATATATTTATTTATTTAATTTAATCTTCAACATGGGTCTCCTCCTGACACATGCACAATTTTTCTTAAATGAGTAGTGACTATACTTGTTTACATAATTTATCTTATCGAGAACGTTTAAGAGTGCAAAACTTAATAAATATTTGATTTAATTTGTCCTTCTTGTTTCATGTTATAGGACAAAATGGAGGAGCTCAAATGAATGAGATGAAGGTGAACATAGAGGAGCAAGCACTGAATGCGGATCAAACATATAGACAGAAGCATTCGTGTGAACATCAAGAGAGGGACCTGTATTAATTTGTTTGTTCTCACTCTCCAACAAGACAGGGAACTCTATCAAATGAACATCAAAAGATCTGATTTGATTTGTACTTGTTGTTTCGTGTTGTAGACAAAATGGTGGAACTCAAATAAGTTGAAGGTGAACATAGAGGAGATATTTAATGTGGATCAAACAAATGTTAACTTCTATTAGAATTTTGATTTGATATGGTCCAATTAAAATAAGATTCTATTTGTAATGGGATTATTGTAACTAACATCGAATGGAATTTAGAAGGTTCTTCTTTTGTGTTCCTATAAATAGGAGCCGCTCCGTTTTATTTTCTTTATCTCAGTTTGTAATATGGTTATGGTCCATCTTGGGATAGAATTGGGGATTCTTTTTCGATGTCAATATATTGTGTACATCAATTAATCTTATAAGCCGTTTGCTTTCACCCATCATGAATTAGAGTACAATAGGTTGAGGTAAATTGTTTGCATTGTAAAACTGTAGGGATTTTTATCCCAATGTGTGGTTGTAATCACCAAAAATCGAACCACAGCAATAAAGAAAATGGTACAAAAAATAAAGAACACCATAAATTGTTCACCCAATTCAGCTAAACCTAATCTGGGGGGCTCAAAGGTAAAAATCGAGCCCTTCATTATGCAAGAACCACCCAGGAGAGAGCAAAAGTTTAATTACAAGATTCAAACCTCAACCAAAACTATCTACAAATCATCGTTCTAACAAAGACCTCACAAAATAACTGACGTCTAACCTGGACACAAGAGTAGTATCTATTTTACAATTTAAAACCCGACCAAAGAAGTCAAAAACACTATTGAAAAAACACAAAATACTGACAATACAACAGACTAAAAAACCACCAAAGCACCGGCCACAAACACAGGCCAAACAATAGATAATAACACCGAAAAGAGAACCAAACATGATCTGAAGAAATCACTGAAGCAAAGGAACCGAAATCGCATCAAGCACTCCCACTCTTCAAGCAAGTTCTTCCCGGATCTTCAATCTGAGGATCTTCTGGAAGTTTTATAGAATTTAGAGAAGGTGGTGTTTTGGTGTTTCAGGGTGTGATGTTTTTCTGCAAAAGCCAAGGATTTTTAATCTGAAAAGTTTAGAAGATTGTTTGGCTTTTTGAACCTTGGTGTGAAAGATATAAAGGATTAATCTCCAAGGATTTTAGAGTGAAGCAATAATATGGCTTCAATTCTAACAAAGACCTCACAAAAAACATCTCCTAACTGACGTCTAACCTGGACACAAGAGTAGTATCTATTTTAGAATTTAAAACCCGACCAAAGAAGTCAAAAACACTATTGAAAAAACACAAAATACTGACAATACAACAGACTAAAAAACCACCAAAGCACCGGCCACAAACACAGGCCAAACAATAGATAATAACACCGAAAAGAGAACCAAACATGATCTGAAGAAATCACTGAAGCAAAGGAACCGAAATCGCCATAGAGAGAGAAAAAGAAAATACCAAGTGAAAAACGGAATTATTTCTCTCTCAAAACCGGTCCTTAACCATATTAAAAAAGAGGATCTAAATCTTGGTCATCCATTTTAATCAATGATCCATAATGGTGCAAAGAAACACAAACCCAAGTGAAGAGGAAACAACCAATAAGAAACTGCCATGTGGACGACTAGTTAGAAATCGTTTTATCACTTGAAAAATCGCATTTTTGTGGTTTTGAAAATACTTTCAAAATTTTCACCTTGTTTTCACAAACCCCTAGCTCTCTCTAGTTGCTACAATACATATGACGGTAATTTTTACCTTACATCATCGCCCAAAGTACCTGCAAAAGAAATTAGCCCGTATCAATATGTAGTAAAGATAAACAAGAATTAAACTTACCTGCATTCAAAATTTTGGTTCTCATATCAGATGGGTTCACACCAGTATAAATTTTTTCAAGTATAACTTCACCACAAGCAATTTTTTCCCGTATGAAATGGTACTTCACCTCAATATGTTTAGACCTTTCATGATAAACCAGATTTTTACATAATCGGTGAAAATAACGGGTGACTCTTGCAAAAAATTCAACTCTCCCAAAATTCCCTTTAACCTAATACATTCTTTTACAAATTCAGTTATTACCACATATTTAGCCTCCGTACTGGATAATGTGACAATAGATTGAAGTTGTAACTTCCATGTGATGCAATTATCATCTAGTGTGAAGAAATAGGCAGTTGTAGACTTTCTTTGGTCTTTATCACCGGCAAAATCGGAGTCTAAATACCCCTTTAAAGTGAACTGTTCAAATCTCCTTTCAAACACCAATCTCACATCTAATGTCCCAACAATATATCTTAGAAGTCATTTTAACCCACCCAATGAGGTTTCCCCAGATTGGTATAAATTTTTTCAAGTATAACTTCACCACAAGCAATTTTTTCACGTATGAAATGGTACTTCACCTCAATATGTTTAGACCTTTCATGATAAACCAGATTTTTACATAATCGGTGAAAATAACGGGTGACTCTTGCAAAAAATTCAACTCTCCCAAAATTCCCTTTAACCTAATACATTCTTTTACAAATTCGGTTATTACCACATATTTAGCCTCCGTACTGGATAATGTGACAATAGATTGAAGTTGTAACTTCCATGTGATGCAATTATCATCTAGTGTGAAGAAATAGGCAGTTGTAGACTTTCTTTGGTCTTTATCACCGACAAAATCGGAGTCTAAATACCCCTTTAAAGTGAACTGTTCAAATCTCCTTTCAAACACCAATCTCACATCTAATGTCCCAACAATATATCTTAGAAGTCATTTTAACCCACCCAATGAGGTTTCCCCAGATTAGACATGAATCTACTTAAGAAACTTATAGCATAAGCCAAATTCGGCCTAGTGGTGATCATAGAAAACATGACTGATCTAATGGCATTAGTATATGGGATATTTTTCATTTCTTCCATTTCACTTTCAGTTTTAGGAGATTGTTTTAGGAGATTGAAATGATGATAGGTTCATATGGGTTGCAAGAGGTACATTAACTTTCTTAGCTTCTTTCATGCCAAATTTGGTTACAACTTTATTCAAATAAGCACTTTGTATTATAGTTGAAATGTTCTCTTGTCTATTTCTGTTGATAACTATTCCCAAAATTTTCTTGGCGTTTTCAAAATCTTTCATATCAAATTCAGATTTTAGAAGCCTTTTAAGTCTCAAAATTTTAGCTTTACTAGAGCTGACCAATAGCATGTCATCAACGTATAGAAGTAAATAAACTTCACTACCAGCCCTAGGGTTATTATAGTATAAACAGTGATCATATTCACTTCTTTTGAAACCAATCTTCAACATATATATGTCAAACCTAATGTACCATTGTCTTGGACTTTATTTGAGCCCATACAATGAATTTTGCAACTTGCACACATAATGTCCCTTTTCCTTCACCTCAAACCCTTGAGATTGATTCATATATACCTTCTCATCTAACTTATTGTGTAAGAAGGCCGTCTTGACATCTAATTCTTCAAGTTCCCAATTGAATTGAACGACTAGTGCAAGCATCAACCTTATGATTTTATACTTGACAAACAGGGAGAAGATCTCATTGTAGTCAACGCCCTTCTTTTGAGTAAATCCTTTGGCTACTAGCATCGCCTTACATCTCAAAGGGTCAGATGGCACAACCCCGTCCTTTAGTTTGAAAATTCATTTACATTGAACAACTCTTTGATTTTTAGGTTTCTTTACTAATTTTCACGTGTTGTTTTCAAGTAAAGATTTCATTTCTTCTTTCATTGCATGTTTCTGTCTTTCAGAGTTAGAGCTATTTATAGCCTCTTCATAGGATGAAGGTTTTGAATACTCTAAAGATTCACCTGAGATAAGAGCAAAGTCAGTCAAATTATTTATTTCATATCTTGGATTTGGTCTGATTTGCCTCCTTTCCTTATCTCTCACCAATTGATAATCTTGAGCACTTGTTTCAACAATGGCAACATTTGGGCTTTCAATTTCAGTTTCGACTACACTTGGGCCTACTTCACCTTCATCCGTGTCAACATTTTCATCAAGTTGTTGAACACTCTCTTCAATATTTTCAAGTTGAGTGGGATTTGGCCTTGCTAGCTTCACCTCACTCCGTGCAGTCTCATTAGTTTGCTCTTTAGAATTATCAATTTTGTTCTTTATGCATGGCATTTCAAATTCATTAAATACAACATTTCTGCTATTAATGATTTTAATGCCTTGAACGCCCAACACCTACAATTTGTACCCCTTAACACTTTTCGGGTACCAAAGCATCACACACTTAGTAGCTCTACGGTCCAATTTTCCTTCAACTTGATGTACATATGCCGCACATCCAAACACCCTAATATGAGAAAGATTTGGGGGCCTTCCCATCCAAGGTTCCTGTGGAGTTTTAAATCCAACAGAACTACATGGAGATCAATTTATAAGATAAGCAACTATAGTTACGGCCTCCGCCCAAAACCTTTTGCTAATCCAAAACTAATTAGCATACATCTTACTTTGTTCATTAGAGTTCTGTTCATTTTTTTCGCGACCCCATTTTATTATGGTGTGTGCTTAATGGTTCTATGTCTTACAATTCCTTTTTGGTTACAGAAGTTATCAAACTCAGTATTATAAAAAATTCTAATCCATTGTTAGTTCTTAGAGTTTTTAACTTCTTAACAAGTTGATTTTCCACCATCTTCAACCAAGTTCAAAATTTTTGAAATGTCTCAGATTTAGATTTCACTGGATACGTCTTAAACTTTCTAGAGTAGTCGTCAGCTATAGAAAGAAAGTACTTATTTTCTCCAAAGGTAGAATGACTTTCTAGTCCCCATAAATCTAAGTGGACATAGTCTAGGGGCCTAGAGGTGGTATGTTACCCGGTCTCGAAACTCACCCTATGTGACTTGCCCAACACATGTTTCACAAAATTCAAGAGGCTCAATCGTATCTTTCCTAAGTAATCTTTGATTACTTAGATACTTTAAACCCTTATTGCCTAAATGTCCCATTCAATTGTGCCACAATTCGAATTTGTTTTCAGTTATGGTCAAAAATTTAGCATCTTGAGGGATAATTGTCTCTCCCAAAAGATAGTACAATCCATTTCTTTTTGGTCCCTTAAAAATTACCAAAGATCCTTTCATAACTTTTAAGGTGTTATTATCAGACTTGAAAGAATGTCCCTTATCTTCAAGAGATCTCAATGAGATGAGATTTCTTTTTAAATTTGGGACATGTCTCACATTCTTCAATTACCTAACAATGCCATCATATATTCTGATAGCAATGTCACCAAAATGGAGAACACTTTGAGAGTTATTTTCGCCCATATATACTTTCCTGGGTTCAACTTCTTTGTAATTATTA